CTCCCAGAATTCCCCAGCCAGCTGGCTGGGGAATTCTGGGAGCTGAAGTCCACCCCTCTTCAAGTTCCCAAGGTGGAGAAACACTGTCCTAAACATCTTTTTTCCATATGCCTACAAAATAATTCAGTCCATGATGGAAGACGCTGTTACCTAGGCTAAACATAAAATTAAGTTGTCCAATCTTGGTTTAAGCTTCAACAGGTGCACCCCATCATAGCTGGCTTGTTTAAGAAGCAGTCACGTCACACAAGCCACAATTGCCTGCATCTTGTCCCCGCAGCCACGGTAAGCGGGAGATTTCTCCCCCCAGCCTTCTCCCCCCACCCCAGGCTGGAGTATAGGTGAGGCTGCTGGGAGTTGTAGTCCAACCCGTCTGGAGAGGCCAGTACGGCTGAACGCCGTGGCTGAAAAGCCACATGAAGGTTTGACTTTTCCAAACTTGCACTTCGGGAGGGGGGGGGTGTTGACATAACTCATCATCTCAACCGGCCACCCCAGAGAGCAAATTTCAAAACTCCAGAAGGATGAACGAACCAGGGGCGATGTGAATTCTGCCCTGTGTCCCCCAAACCGGGCATCCGTGCCTGGTTTTCTTGGAGAAGCCGAAGGCGTCTTTTACAAACAACCCCCCAAAACTACAACTTGCACGCGTGCTGGCAGGACGTGCCAGCCCTGTGTGTGTCAATGCCTTTTTTGTTGACGAGCGCAGCCCACTTGGATTCCAGGGAAAATGCCAAGCGGCCCCCACAAGCTCCGGCCACAAAGCTGCTTTGGATGAAAAGCAAAGGTTAGGCTGATTAGCATGCAGTTCAGGTTTGCTCTCCAGAAAGGGCAGGAGCTGAAAAATTCAAGGGGGGTGCGTGTGTGTTTGTGTGTGCCGAGGGCCGTTCCAGCAGGTCAGACCTTCAGAATGCCTTTGTATACCAGCTGTCCGTGCCAAATGCAACTGTATGTTTCCATGTTGTGTTGGAGATAATCTTTAGCACCCGATTCGGGGCCTGGTCGGGCTAGATTCTTGCAGCGTTGAAGCCCTGACGTGGTTTGCTTTGGTTCGGTTTGGGGTCAGGCAAACCCAGGTTTGGGGGCCTGGTTGCCAGCCACAGGAAGGGGAGACCTGAGAGGAATGCCCTAGACTCTCATCCTTGGGGGTTCAAGGCTCCCAACGGAATCAAGGTCACTTCGTAGAACCCGCCACTCGAGAGCCAGGAAAGTCACACACGGCGTAATGCAGAAAATCTCGGACTTTAAATTTGAAACAAAACCCCAATTTAACCATCTCAGAAAAAAACACGTTGCTTACATCAGCGAGGACAAGTTTGGCTCCACGCTGGGAGAAAGACACGTTCTGGCAACATCTGACTGGCAACTCAGATCTGGAGAATATTGGATGCGGGAATGGCAAAACAAACAGTATATATAGACACGACAGAAGTTTAGCTAAATTGACGCAAGAACAATATATCAGGCCGCCTGGCACAGAGAATCAGGTTAGGGGCCCAAATGTCTACCAACATTGCAAATTAGGAGGGAGTCCGAAACGCAACAGCCAGTTTTTCAGACCACCGGGGCGTGAAGCTGGGACAGCCGATCGGGAAAAACTACGCCCGAGGGGGTTCATGAACGCATCCATTCGCTCCCGGGGATAGGAGTGACCCCCGTCTTCCCAGCGCCCA